TCTAATGAATCCTGTTTTCTTCAACTCTCTTTAGAATCCGTGCTGTGTCCCCACACTTTGATGACATGCACAGTAACACAGCTTCTACTATCAACTTTGTAATTTCCCAAGTAGCCAGTGGTGATATAAATACAAGCATCCAGGCTCTGGCACAGGTAAAACAATTAAGGTAGCAACTAATCACACTGTACTAAACTATTTGTCTGCGAGGGTGATGAGTTGCACTGTGGTGGAGCAATCATGTCAGGTGACGTGGACTCTGCTCAGAATATCCCTGATGACAAAACTAAGTGCACAGGGGCCATCTGACTCGCTTTAGCAATAGAAATTCCACTTAGATGATGTAGAAAAGATTCTTCACACAGAAACACTAAAAAAAAAAAAAAGTGTATCTCTGTTTTTGTCAACTATCTGTGGAAAGTGCTAGTTAAGTAAAAGTTAATTAAATGTAAATTGTTTTACAGATCCTTAGCAAAAGAATTGTCTTGCCTCATGGCTTTTACATGTTTCCAGGATGGCTTTAACTACTTTAGTATTTTATGCAGAAGTTTTCATAAAGCTATTAATTCCAGAATCCATAATGCAGCACTTCATGTTTTCATTTGTGTACAGGATAGGATTGCAGCTCTTTAAAAGATCAATAATTGGTTGTATTGGGATTAGCACTAGAGGTCCACGGCTACTGATTTCAGGTGGAAGCTTAGCATACAAGTGCCTTGGCAAATGGATTGGTCAGGGCAAGACCTTTCATACAGAAAAGTTTTTAAATTACAGTTATTTTTCACTGTTTGCATTATGCTGACTTGACTTGTGTGGTGTTGTTTGTTTTTGGTTTTTTTTAATCTTTAGATTGATGAGGTTCTCAGACAGGAAGACAAAGCAGAAGCCATGTCTGGCCACATTGACCAATTCCTAATTGCTACCTTTATGCAGCTTCGGCTTATCTACAATACACACATGGCAGATGAGAAGCTAGACAAAGATGAGATAGTCAAACTTTACAGCTGTATTATTGGGAGCATGATCTCGGTAAGGCTTTGACCTAAAAGTTAAGATGAAGAGCCAAGAACTTCGGTGTAGAAATTGCAGGAGAATGGAATGTCTGTTCAGAGCTGACCTGTAACCTAGGTTACCTTACTATTGAGTCTTATTTATGAAGGTTTGTTGCCAGTTTTCTGTTCACCAATGCACATTTTGAAAGGGAGTAGGGACTGAGAAATTGGGGAAGGGAAAAAGGTCTATTTGTTGTTTCTACAGAGTACAACCACTCTAACACTTCTAGTAAGATCTGTTTTAATATTCCTTACCTTTTGAGTGCTTAGTTGATGGCCTAAGTATTTTCAGAAGTTACTCAGTAGAAATAACTTTTTTCCTAGTTGCATTTTTATTGTTTAATGGGGGGGTGGTGTATGAAATATGTGAAATAGCTTGACAGTGTAGTCTAGCGATATCCCTATATTAAAGCATTGCATGCAGGGAAAACTCCTAATGTTGTCTTTAATTTGTAGCTATTTCAAATAGAGAGTCTGGCTCGAGAGGCCTCCACTGGTGTGCTGAAGGACCTAATGCATGGTCTTATTACATTAATGCTGGATTCTCGGGTTGAAGAACTTGAGGAGGGTGAGCAGGTCATCCGATCAGTCAACCTCTTGGTAGTGAAAGTTCTGGAAAAGTCTGACCAGACCAACATCTTGAGGTATATAATGAAAATTACATCATTACTGCTTCTCTTCACCTGTTCTTGTGTTTTCCTTGAATGGGTGAGTTTGTTAGTCATTCTGTAAGGAAAGAATGATGTGTGTAGAATTGTTCAGCTGGCTAATGAAGAATTGTTACTGATTGTCAGTGGTGATCAGAATTTGCACAATTTGCACAGCGGGAGGCAGGCTAAACGAACCAGCTTAGTATGATTCTGTGTGCTTTGTAGTTCAGCAGACTGCCTCTTAAACTCTTGTAACGTAGTAGAAGGAAAGAGCTGTCACACCATATGACGTAAACTGCTGGACTAACCCTAGTCTCTGATGTGGTATTTTGTGGGGAGTTAGCATCCTTTTTTGTGTGTAGCACTTTTTCTGTGTAACTATTGTAAGTTTATTCCTTCTAGTGCTCTGCTTGTTTTGCTCCAAGACAGTCTGCTAGCAACAGCCAGCTCTCCTAAGTTTTCGGAACTTGTCATGAAGGTGAGCCTGTAGTAGAGGTTTTGAACTTACTTGGTTTATCTGAATCAACTTAGCTGAAGGAACAGCTAAATTTAAAAAAAAAAAAAAAATTGGTGATTGTGACTTGAAATATTACTTAAAACTTTTTCCTAATTATAATCTTATAATTCAGTGTTACATATGGTGACTTCATGTATTCCAGGAGGAAGCTTAACACCTGCTAATAGTTTACAGAAGCTTGTGTGTACTAATACAAGCTCTATACAGAGGTGTGCAGTCACCTGCTGGGCTTATTTGCTTAGGCACAGCGCTGTACTATGGATTCAAACAGTCTCACGCTGGAGCTGGCTTGTATTTTGTCATCTCTAAGGATAGGCAGAGTGAACATGCAGATGTCTGCGTTTAAAGCGTGGGTGTAATCTTTTTTTATAATATAACATGGTTTTGTAACTGGTATGATGTAGAGACAACTTTGGCATTCTTAATGAGGTTAAACCTAAAGAATTCATGCTATGTGGGGGTGTACATAGCATATATGCATTATCTGCTGAAACTTCTTTACACAAAGAATCTGGTCTCCTGTTATTGGTAGAGAAGTCAGTAGTACTTTTACGCATCAGCTCCAAAGAAGGATCTGAATACAGTACAGCTAGTTACAAAGAGAAAGTACGTACCAGTGCAAATATGACTTGAGCAGACAGACATAGTGTGTGTCCGTGTGTTGTAGCAGAGTGAAATGGTTCCATCATAGTTTTGTGTAATCTCTTCATATATAATGAAATGCTTCTTCCTTGAGTTCTCTTTGCATTAAGTCAGCCTCTCATTCCAGTGTCTGTGGAGAATGGTGCGTCTTCTTCCGGAAACCATTAATAGCATCAATCTGGATCGGATTCTACTAGATATCCACATTTTCATGAAGGTCTTTCCCAAAGAGAAGCTGAAGCAATGTAAGAGTGAGTTTCCTATAAGGACACTGAAGACTCTGCTTCATACCCTGTGCAAGCTGAAAGGGCCCAAGGTCAGAGCAGTCACTAGTCATGTACTTCTAAATTGGATCTTCATGCAGTGTCTAATGCTTTTCCATTATTTCCCCCACACACACACCCCGTGTTAGATCTTGGATCATTTGACAATGATAGACAACAAAAACGAGTCTGAGCTGGAGGCTCACCTGTGTAGAGTAATGAAACACTCCATGGACCAGAGTGGAAGCAAAGCTGATAAGGATACAGAAAAAGGGGCTTCTCGCATAGTAAGTAATGTAAATGTGTTGGTAGGGAGAGGGAATGAAAGGTAATTTATTTAACAAGCAAGCTTACTTTTGTGGTTGTGAAATATGAAGCAGTAATTGCCTTTGCAACACACAGCTAGTGTTTTGGGAACTTGCAGTGTGGTTCTGTTATTACCTGAATATTCTGTGCATATCCCAGGATGAAGTGCTCTCCAGGACGTTCAGGTAATGCAGCATAGATTTTATGATATCTATCCAGCTAGCAGGTTTGAGGGTACTGTGCATTTGTCTAACTTACCTTCATTTTCACTCACTTTGATTTAGAATTCTCCATTTATTTATTTAGGAGGAAAAGGCTTCAAAGGCCAAAGTTAACGATATTTTGGCAGAAATATTTAAGAAGATTGGCTCCAAGGAGAACACTAAGGAGGTAAGTGCTCCCTTCCTGTAAGGAAGAGGGTATGATACATTAGAATGGTGTATGCAGCGGTTGTAGTAATGCACAGGAACTGTTCCTTCCCAGGGTCTGGCAGAGCTGTATGAATACAAAAAGAAATATTCTGATGCAGACATTGAGCCCTTCCTGAAAAACTCTTCTCAGTTCTTCCAGAGCTATGTGGAAAGAGGCCTCCGGCTTATAGAAACAGAACGGGAGGGGAAGGGACGCATTGCTGCTTCTACAGGTACATGTTATAGCAAAACTGATTGATTTATGAGAATCAGAGATATAAGGAAAGCAGTTACATATTCCTTGGTAGAAACTAATATTGGCATATGCATGCCATGTGGATTTCCAAAGCGTGTCACATATTTTCTTGGCACTTGTGTTGCTTCATAAGGCACCATTTGCAGGGACTATGCATTCTTTTTTTTTTTTTTTTTTTTTTTTACAAAAAAGATATTATAACCATTGTCACACTAACTGTAGAAAACATCTGAAAAGCTTGGTAAACAAGTGTTTCTAATTTGTATCTTGTAGTGTGAACATCAGTCTATGCTTCATGTCTCTGGTATCAAGAATTGTTTCTGCAAAGTATACAGCTGGTGTTTATAACAGCAGGTTTTTGTTTTACGTTTTGGTTACTAAAATGGTACAGGACTTTTTTTTGATAGGGTATTGTTTACTGCAGAATCTAAAAGTTGATTTAAAATAACTTGATCTGTTTCTATAGCAGTCTTTGTGATGACCTCTTTCTAATAAATCAGCTTTTTAATTGGATGAATTATTGTACATTGCTTTGTTAGTGAGTCCTCTCATTGCAGATAAGCACAAACGAGTATTTAATGCAATATTAAGGAGGGAATGTGACAAATGATTAGCCAACAGTAAAAACTGATACGCAGTCTGGAAAAGCTACTTTTAACTTTCATTTAGTTCACATTTCAGTGCCCTGTGATACTTTAGCCTTTTATTCTACTACTGTTCCTCCTCCTATCCCTGCATTATAAATTACTTTACTTTGGTAGAACAAACGTAAGCTGCTTTCAGAACCTCCTAAATGTGTCTGAGTAGATGGGACAGAAAATTCTGCCTTTCATCCTAAAAGTCTGTACAACCAAGAAATGTTAGTTCAACAGTTAGAGATTTCAAAACAGAATTTACGTGCCCCAATTTTGTCTTTTTTTCTCCCTAACTATAATAGTTTCATATAATAAAGGATACTGTTCCATCTTGCAACTGTACTTTATTTAGACTAAAGTATAAACGCTTAGCCTTAATTCTCCTTTCATCTATCTTAAATACTCTTGCAGTAAACTAGTGAAAACAAACCCCCATCCATACTAAGTCTTAGAACTTGCCATTCGTTTCAGAATGGGAAGTTGTGGGGGTTTTTCATAATGTAAAAGCCTTTTGTAGCTTTCAGGTAGGGAAGCTTTAAAAACCTTGCTACATGCCTTCCAGAAATCACTATTTCAGATTGAATTGGAAGAAACAGCAGTTTTACTGGAAGAAGAGGTAAAGAGGGGTAAGAATCAGTGGTGAGGCCTGTCCAGGAGTACTACCGAACTTAGAAGAAGACAGAAGACTCCAAATATTTCCCATCCTGTGCATTTCTGAGGACTCTGTTGGACATCATGGTTACTGCCAATGTACATCAGCATCTTCTTCCTCCCCACCCTGCCAAGTCGTCTTTAGCTGTCAGCCTCAGCACTACTTCTGGAACTGCTCTGCTGCCACTTCTTAAATGTCTTAATTTCTTTTCTAGGCTTTCAGTTGTCAGTCTTGCAAGGAAATTAAGGAGCTGATATGCCTATATTAGCCAATGCAAATAGCTTGGTAGTTTATAGGTTGGTTGATGCTTCATCCATTGCATCTTATTTCAAGGAACTTAAGAGGCTCGCAGTCTTTTGATATTTTTAATCTTTTTTTTTTTACCCTCTTCCCCACCCCCACCCCCCTCATCCTCCAGGAATTTCTCCTCAGATGGAAGGAACATGTGTTCCTGCTTCTACCCACACTGTATCTTCATCTATAGGAAACTCAAATGGGGAGGAAGTGGGGCCTTCAGTTTACCTGGAAAGATTAAAAATCCTCAGGCAGCGTTGTGGCCTTGACAACGCAAAGGTATTGTACTTGACAACACTTGTAAAGCCCCAGGGGAGGCACTTCATTTGCGCTTTTTAAGAATTCAAATGATTGGTTCTTTGGTGCCAAAAGCAGATTCCAGTCAGAATTTATGATCTTTCATTATAGTATTGGAAACCTGTGGGCCAAAATTTCTAACAGTCTGGTGATCTATGTGTTGGGAATCTAGTGCCAGTTACTGAAGTTTGCCCTCAGCCACCTCAGAAGTGATGTTCACTCTAGGAATAGTCATCCAGGCACATCACTCTTTTAACACAAACTCGCATATGAGCTCATAGCTCTGAGGAGGGGAAATGTTTCCCAGATGATAGTAACAAGGTGGAGATGGAATGCAGATGGAAGCATCATATTGGTAAAAGAACGGTGAATTGATACTGTAAGTCTTTGGCAGGGTGGATCTTGCCAATCAATCCAAATTTTCCTCTTTTCATTCCTCCAGAAAACTCATTGGCTATTGATGCTGTGCATAGGCATGGACTTTCCTTTTGTGGTGTTAGAATTCAGGCTGTTCAAGGCACAGCAGACAAACACCAATCTGCTGTGAGTTGTTGCTTTTTAAAGACTGTAGTTCCTTTGTGTCCCTACTGACATCAGGCTAAACATGAACTACATACATGATAGGAATTGAGTATTGTAGCTAGCTTTGCATGCTTCTGACTGATGGGAACTGACTTTATTGCTCCAGATCACCAGTGTTGTATTACTCCTTCCTTCTCCTCTGTTTTTTAGTGTTTCTTGTGAAGATGAAAAGCCATTGATTATGGTTTGTACTTCTTTCATGGTTTTTGCCACTCTGTCTTAACACTTCATTTTCCTCCCCCATAGCAGGAAGACAGACCACCTCTGACGTCTCTGCTCTCTAAACCAGCAGTCCCTACAGTTGCATCCTCTACAGATATGCTTCACAGTAAGCTCTCCCAGCTCCGTGAGTCACGGGAGCAGTACCAACATCTGGACCTGGATTCCAATCAGACTCATTCTTCTGGCATTGGAACTACCCTGGCTTCACCCTCTTCTGCAGCAGCTAATATTGATGACTTGAAAAAAAGATTGGAGAGAATAAAAAGCAGTCGCAAATAGAGATGCAAGAGAGACAGCATCACTGTTGTTTGGGCTGTCTTCAGCTTTAGTTTACTAAACTAGAAGTCTTCATAGTTAAATGGCCTCATTTAGGCCTAATGTATACAAACTGGTTTATGTATAATACAGTGGATTTTGGGGGGTTGAGTCATTGTGGCACAAGTATTTGTACATAATCTGCTTCTTGGTGAGCATCTCTTTGACAATAGAAGGCTGTCTGTGTATTAGTTTTAGTGTACAGACCTGTAAACAACCATCCTCTTGCTCAGACTAGTTTCTCATAACTTGTTTTTTTATTTGTAAAATTGTCTTTAAGATCTTTTCCTAGTTCTTAACTCCTAGAAGATCTTTAGTGATTTCACTTTTAATTTTGTGAATTCTTCTCCATGTAATCCTTGAACTGTTAATTCTGTATTGACACATGGCATGAAGTAACTAATTTAAGTGTCTTTTGTAAATAAAGTTTGCATTAACTATACCAGCCTCTATAGGAGCAGCAGTGACTGCTGGTTAGAGAAGTCACTCTCTATTTCTGAATGTTAGTGAGTGGGCATCTAGAAACTGAACTAAGCTATTCTTGACATGAACCTTGGGGTTTGGCTATGTTATAAGGAAGATGAGTGAATATATACTATGTGTTGGTGCAATCCTGAGACTTTGCACTCTTCTATAAGCAGTAGTACATTTTTCATATAGTTGGTTTTTTGTTTTGGAATATGTTTCTGTAACTTGAGAGTAAGTTGATAATATTTAGTTTGCTGAAATGCATATTTTAAATTATCTAGTCTTTGTGAGGCCTCTGCCCAGATTCAGTGTAATCCCATCTGTGCACAAATGCTTTCTTGAAGGGAGCCTGCTGCTGTTGGTATGGAATAGGTTAGCAGTGATGTACAGTCAGTGGACTCATTTATGCTGAACTAATTTGGTTAAGCAGTCTTCCTCATGCAGTTTTCAAGTGCAGGTAGACCTCACCACCACGTTTTTTTTGCTCTTGAACATCTGATGTTAGCAAACTCCACTGTTTTGTATAACTAAAACACCTGGTAGTGATGGTCTGCAAAAGCTGCAGCCACTGCTTTTTTCTAAGGATGTTTTCTGATTAGCCTTTTTCAGAAGCTGCAAGTATGAAGATTAAGACCTATACTATGTAGCCTTTGTAGCCCTTTCATCTCTAGAGAGGTCATACATTTCCACCTTACTACTGCGCTTCCACGGTAGAGCTGGTTGTGAAGCATAAATTGCATTATCTGTTCCATAGCTAGAACAGAGTTAATGAAGAATTGGACAGGCAGGCTTAAAATAGCACACTTCTGCTCTAGATTTTAATCTGTTCCACATAACTGCTGCTTTTGTTGTCTGCTCTGTGGACCAGCAGTCTCTGTGTTAGGGCTGTTACTGAAACTATCTTGCCTGATTACAGTAAAAATGTGGCTTTAAAGTAGTACCTGTACACAGATTTATGCCAGAGCTGCTGCAAATGGCTGAAATCTTCCTTTTACAGGACCCCTAGGCTGGGGTTGCAGTTGATCTAATACTGCTTGGTGCTTACGATGAGTTTGTACACTGTGATAGCAGGTGACTTGTGAGTGTTCTGCATCCTGTGTTAATTGACATGATTCCATTTATTGATCCACCACCTTGATTTAGTAGTTGCAGTCTCCTCTCCTAACCTGAAGTGGGCATGCACTTTCTTGTGGAACAGAGCTGTATGACAAGTGGACATTTGGCCCTTATTGGCAAGTGCTGAGGTTTTGTGCACTTAAACTGGGGTTTTGTGAATAATTTGTGTTGGCTGGCACTAGAGTTACTGCCACTACCTCTCAATTGCTAGCTGCTTTTTGAAACTTACTGACATTTAAATTAAACCATATGTTCCTTTACCATGTCCAGCAGATGATCTGAAGAGCTACTTGTTAATTAGCTCAAGATGTTAAAACAGCAATGCCTGCAAACCTGCATACAACTCTTCAATTTGAAGCTGGATTGGAAGTGAAGTACAGGAATAATTGAGTAGCAGAAGAAATAGTTGCTTACTATGAATGAGTTTTTGCCCTGTGTCTCTGTAGCGTTTGGTTGGACTTAATATCCTGGGAGTTCTGAACTAAAACTTGTGCACATAAATTAATAAAGCCTAATCTTTAGCCCAGACAATATTTAAATAACATTAAACTGAATTTTAAAAATGATTCCTCTGTATTGTTTGTAACAAGTCAGTATTAACAGTGACTTACTCCAGAAACTGTATGGTCCCGGTTCCCTTCTTAGGAATGCAGTTTCTCACAGATTATTGGATAGCAGTGAAAAGGTGAGGCTAAAAATTTAAACATTATAAGGGCTAAACATTTTCAGTGTCCGATGCCGGTGGTTATCAATGACTTTAAACCGTTTTGGAACTTGAGCTCTTGAGGTTTCTTTCTTCAGATGTCTTTTGAGATGTTGTTTTATGCTTGCTTTGGGTATTCAAATTGGGCTGTCTTCAAGTTTGTTCCCAAATGAGCCATCTTCAGGAAGGTAGCCAGACAGTAATTGATCAATAACTTTATTTCTGTCCAACTAATTTCGGATAGTTACCTCTACTGTCACTTTTTCAACACAGTCACTCCACTTCTTAATACGCTGTATGAAGCACAACAAAATTTCACTATTGCCTGTTTCTGTGACTTGATGGCACTGTGAATGAGTTTAGGAATATGGTGTCATAGGGAGTGAGGACAGTTTCCAAATCTCATGATTAAGAGAAAACTGGGCTGAACAAATTCACTAGTAAAGAATATGTGTTTACTGCTGGGTCCTCAGTGGTCCACAAATTCCTGCTAAAGAGGAGTTCATGAAAGCACTGAAGCTTCTTTTGTGAGTGATCCCTAAACAGGCTTTTGAAGACAAGAAAACAGATATAGTGCAGGATGCTTCCATTGGAGGCCCTTTGAGAATGGCTGCGCATGGATTGCTTCCTTCTGAATCTTGCTATGCAGGTGGAAAGTACACTTTGAGGACCCAGCACCACCTGCCATGTAGAAAGTTACTGCCATATAGTAATGGAAGTGCTATTTAATGTACTCAAGCCTGTATTCCTCTGTAGGATGAATTGTATACCGTTGGCATCTGTAATGTCTTAAGATGCTAACCTTGCCAACAGTGGTACTTGTATTTGTTGTCTGCTATTGTAGCTGAGAACAATACCTGTCTTATCAAAATAGGTTATAGTTGCTTTACTTTTGACATTGGTATTGGTGTTTTGTGTAATGTGACAGTTACTGTACGGTGATTATCTCTAGTACATTCTTGGCTCTATTTCTAGAACAGAAAATTAGATGCCTTGAAGGGAGGAAAATGGACAGTGCCTGAGGGCACAATCGTGCTTACTGTGACTGACTTAAGGCCATCATCTGAGGTGTAAAATCTGTTGATGATTATAGCTGATAGAAAGGAGGAGAATTTGTTGAAAGCACAACAGATAATTGGCAGTACAACTAGGGTCATTCTGGCCATTCTGTTGGTACTCTGGGCTACTGTGATGGCTTAGATTCAAGTGCAACTAAACAGCATGAACAAAAGGAAGATGATGGTTTTGAGAACTTTTATTTTCAAGGGAGGACCCTTTCCTTTGTCGAGTTGTTAAGGATATAACTGTTTTACTTCAGGATCTTCTATGCTTAGGTTTTTAAGAGAAGCATTGTAGCAAAACTGAGAGCGAGCAAGGTGAACGCTTCCTCTATCGCCCATGTTTTTCGATGGCTTTGCGCATCCACTTTTTCAGGCGGAATACATGGGTATAAAATCCATATTTGCCGTCTCGGTCACAGCCTTCTCCCCATGAAACTATTCCCACTTGATACCAACGGTTGTTGTCTGGGTTCTAAAGCAAAGAAAAATGGGATTGGCACAAGGAGCAAGAGACTTTCAGATCTAAGTCTTGTATGCACCCCAGCCTGTTTTGTGATACTGCTTTGGAATTCAGACTGGCATCTATTAGATAACATAGCTGGTTGGAGTAATTTTGTCTCTACTCTTAAACCTCTAAGTGAGAACTGGCCATCACTCATGCATTCTGCAGCTGATCTCTGTATGTGCTGAGAACTTGATACAGAAATGGGGCTGGATGACTGCAGGATTCATCTTGGTTGCTCAGCTTGGGCATGAGAAGGGTTCACTTCAGCCACTCGCTAGTCTCCATCTCTGCTGCTGTTTTTAGACTGTTAGGAAAGTTCAGCATAGCACAAAACTAGCTCCATATGTTTTATGAGCTTGAACTTCTTGAACATACCTTCATTACAAAAGGTCCCCCACTGTCCCCTTCACAGGCATCTCCTCTCTTTGAGTCTTCAGGACTGTAACCTACAGGCAAGAAGAAAGTCGGACATTTGACTTTGTAGGGGGGGTGGCTGGTGTTGTCTACCTTAAAGTATTACTGCATAAATTCTCTGAGAATGCTTACTGCTTCTGCCAACTATTTGACTTAGAGCTGTTTTCTAAATTTATATTGTATGTAGAACAGCTAACCCTGCTTCTGTCTTTGCAGCATTCCTGAATCCACCATATTCTTCCACCCTCTGTGCTCTCATTCCTGTTGTCTTTCACCAGAATTGCCGTTAGTGTCAGCTGCTACTGTGCCTTTTTCTTGTCTTAGAAGCTTCAGTGTGTGTAATATTCCATCTACCCCGTTCTTTCATTCTATTTACTATAGAGACACTTGCCGTCCTCACTTTCACATTCCTGTCATTCTGCAGTCTCTGCTCTCTCTCTCTTCCCCCAACTGTCTTCCTACAGTCTTGCTATGAAGAAGAAAGGGATTTCACTTTAATTGCTGATGAACTAGACAGTGTCTTTGCTTTTTCCCATCACCCATCTCTCCACTTTCCTGTTGTATGTCTGCATCTCAGCTATTTTTCAAAATTGTTGGCTTGAAAAAGAAACCATAAGAATACTGCTTTGTCAGTATACTCATGAAATTGGCTTCCATCCTAGCTCAAGCAATCATACACATTATGCAGCACAAACTCAGTCAAAAATCATTGGAGACTTGTTTGTAGGAACTGATAAAATCTACACAAATGAAGAATACAGCAGGAAGTATTAAACTGGTATGTAAATCCATAGTCTCCGTATTTTGAATTCTGTGTTCACTTCTAGTTTCTCTCAAAAAGGGCATAGTGCCAGAAGAGATTTAGGGAGATACAACAAGGATTATCAGAAGTACAGAATGCCTTCTATATTAGGAAAGATTAAATATGTGCTTCTCAGCTTGGAAAAGAAATGACAGGGCTGTAAAGGGTCCATAAACCAGCATATGACATGGTGAAAAAACACTTTTTTTCTTAGGAGTATAGATGTATACCTCTTCAAATTTATTAGACAGGAAATTTAGTGGAACATGAGGAATTACATTTGTCACACATGCCTGACTAATCTGTGGAGCCTGTTGCCACAGAAATTGTGGGCGTAAGTATGAATAGGCTTCAAAAGGTTGAGACAAGCTCA